TCTGTGTTGACCCTCCTCTTTGTAGACTGGACACTGGTTCAAGTCCATCTGGTGGGGTCTCCTCAGCTTCCTTGATCAAGAGGACAGGCGACCCACCACAATTACAGGACATTTTGAGAGATGCTCGTAGTCCCCTGGAACTAGTACCTAGGAGGGCAAGGAGCAAAAACTGTCCTTTATGTCCCTCAAAGTATAGGCCTCAAAGTAGGTCTGTTAAACACCCAAGAAGGTTAGTTCCACTAGTCTGGAACTTTTAATTACTGTGTGTCATGTGGATAAATCTTGGGCAAAGTTCAATTGTTCTCAGATAAACCTTACCTAGACATATACTTCTTGATCTGCTATGTATAATGTGTCAGTAGGTTGTAGGAGTAATAAGGCTCCCTCTGGTTTTCAAAACTAGCTAGGCATTGTTTATCTCTCGCATTGTCTCACCCCTCCATCATGGTTTTCCCACTTAAGGTGACCCATTTCTCCCCTTTCTAACTTACTAATACTCTTCTCCTATGGTCCTACCTCTCTTGAGCTCCTTCTTTTCCTTTATCCCCAAGGTTCCTTGCATACCCTTCCTTTCCCCCTTCCTTAAACTAACCCAATTTTTATCCATATCTCCCTTGTTAAGGCCTGTTTCCTACTGTTCTTCTCTTTCAGGTTATTTCTTTTCCTTTACCTCCCTGGTCTTTTCCATTATCCTGCTTCCTGCCCTGTTTCCTTTCCGTTATCCTGGTTCCTATAGTTATGTCTAGATTGCAGACTTATTTATCAGAGTCCGGTTCTAGGATCCACATATGAGGGAGAACATATGTTGATTTTTTGTCTGAGTCTGTGTTACTTCACTTAGTGTAGTTTCTTAGAACAGTTTCTAGTTCCATCCATTTACCTGAAAATTTCAGGATTTCATTTTTATTTACTGTTGAGTAAAACTCCGTCATATAAATGAACCACATTTTCATTATCCACTTGTCAATTGAGGGACACTTAGGTTACTTCAATCTCTTAGCTACTGTGAAAAGAGCAGCAACAAACATGGATGTACAAGGGTCACTGCAATGGGATAAGTTCTTCAGGT